CAATAACCGCCTCCCCACCCGCCTTCCTGTCCTCCACGCCAGAAGTCGCCTCGAGCAAGTTCTCTTAGTGTTCTCTCTCTTCGTACTGTACTGTATTTTGTTTCATATTCAGAACGAGTATGACACGTTCCGTCGCGGAACGACAGAGTCGCGGAACGAATTAAGTTCGTGACCCGAGGTACCACTGTATAAGTAGATCTCAGGGCATCCACGGGGGTCAAAAAAGTCAAGATGGCAGCCATGACTGTGCAGATCAAAGGGCTGAGCCTTTTTTATATGCATTGTGCCGATCTCCGTATCAGTACAGCAGTTTATAAAGCAAATGCAAAGATTGTGTTTTGCTCTGTGTCTAATGAGGGAGGTATATTTGAAGCTGTTGGTAATCTGGGGCAGCCATTCATCCATTGCAACGGAACAATTTGTCCTAAATGCTTCTACCTTGATAGCCTAAACGACTGGAATTATTGCTGGTTTTTTGGTTGCGTACTCTCCAGTTATTTGTGCAGATATTCATTATGTAATGGCCATGGCAAGACTTTCTCTTAAAGAGGTTGGTTGGAAGGGGGCCAGTAAAAGAGGACCACCCCATGGGAAGGATCTCCCCAGGAGAGGGAGTGAAGCCAGTGGCAAGAAAATGAATGACCTAGTTAATGATGGGCTCGGGGTTTTGTGGTGTGGAGAGCTTTATGGCTGCAGCAACTCGTTGAGGAGAAAAGGGGGACAAACAAACCAATATTTGATCAATTAAAGAATGGTTTGATTGGCTGTGAGCCAGGCCATGGATTATTTGGTGATCCATGGTGAACAAACAATGGCTTAGTGCAAGTTCTGAACCAGCCACGACATTACTCTTAAAATTTGGATCTATGGCTGGATTCACTGGTGATGCTAAGTCAGAGACAAGTGGCTTGTGACCTCCAGCACCCTGCCCAAATCTGCCAGCAGTGATTTTCAGGGGGTGGTGGGGAGGCAGTTTGTTTTCCTTTTATTCGAGAATAATTCTGGGGGTGGGAGCTGGGAGGCAAAGAACACCCATTCCACCTTTTAACTCATTCCCCCCCCGCCCGTGATTGGCTCAGCCGTTTTGCCAGCAATGTTAAGCTGCCTGCCTTTTGGGGGTTTCCAGGAGTAGAAATGGGAGAGCGTTTGCCTCTCAGCAGCCTCTTGCTCACACTCCAGCTCTTCCAAGATGCCAGAAAACAGATTGAGAGGCCCTCCTGAGGGTTGCTGACCTCGTGCTAAAGTATAAGCGGCTTGTGCAAATGTAAACCTTTGGGCGAAGGAATCACGATTCCTTGCTTAATGCGATGCATAACCCTAGGAAATTGTGCTTTGGTCAATGATCCACGGTTTAAAAAAATCACGACTCGGGGCGATGTGAGACCTCAGCCCGTGTTTTGAGGAAAATGCATCTTCTGGGAATAGGATTCTTCATTGTAATGTTGTCAACACTGATTTTTTCCGGGGGCTGGAATTGCTGTTGTCATAAGTATGAATTCTGAACTTCAACTGTTCTTCCTTTCCTTTTTGAATCTCAAGTTTTAAGACCAAACTAGCCGCTGCATTAGCAAGATGCCGAATCAAGCATGATGCTCTTTCTATAGAACATATTCTGCCAGAAACTATTCGGAAGCAAGAGCAGAGGGCCTCCACCCTGCCCCTGTACACCTGGGTAAACACGCTGAAAGTCAGGTGAGGTCTACCGTCTTCTTGCTCTCCCATCTCTTCTGCCCACCGCTTCCCTTCAAATGACATGACATGGTTTAATGTCCTATGAGCGTGACCCTTACATTGAAAAGGAATGGTGATTAAAATTAACTGCTCACTTCTGGGGAATGCTCCTAATCCCTTGAATTTGATGGTCAGTTCCTTAAAGCTCGCAGAGTGCCTTAAGGCCAGAAACCCAGACCAGCCTAGTTCACAAGGTAGTTCTTGAGATAAACTGGAGAAAGATCCTATGTAAGCCACCTCGAGTTCTTAGAGAAATGCTGGGAAATAAAAGAAAATAATGTTGATGATAATTAAATAAGAAAAGTAAGAGTACACTAATAAATATGAATGTATTAGTGTAAACAACACTAATAAATAGTGTTTATTGTGTAGTGTATAGTGTAGTGTAAACAACATTAATAAATATAAATAGAAGGGTATCAGAACCATAGATATCAAAGGGTCATTTCACTTCTACCAATCCTTGCTGGTAAGTGGCTTTTTTAAGATGCCCTGAAGCAAAATATTTCAGTTTACAAACCCAGTAGGACAGTTGCTCTTTCGTATTCCTGTGAGAAGTATCAAAACAACTATTTTCAGATATAAAACACGGTAACATGAGATTCAAGCATCATCTTTTCACAGAGAGTTTTGTCATCCTTTTCTTGTTAAACATTAAAGAGTCACAGGTATTCTTGCAAAATTGAGGTGCCCAATTCACAAACTAAAGGTGGATAAAGCTTACAGCCAATCTTGATCTTAAAGTTTTATCCTTAGGCTTAGTTCTGGAGACACTGGGGATTAGTCACAGGTGTCCACGAGAGGAATCAGAAAAGTCAAAATGGATGTTATAACTGCATGAGTGAAGCCCTTTTTAATATGTGAGGTCACCATTTTGATGTTTTTGGCACACACCATGGATGCCTCTCAATCAGTCTGGGAAAGAATGGGAGCAGAGTGAGCAATTGCAGACTTTGTAAAACCTGATTTAAGTGGCGCCAAAGAGGAGTTTTCACGTATGCCTTGATTTTTTGTATTACCCTGGTTCATCAGTGCCACCATTGCAGGGATTCAGCATTTAAAAAAAAAAGTATCCTGGAGCTGCAGATCTTGAGAATGATCAAGAAGTCTTATCATGACTATGAATGGTACCAAAGTTCTCCAGAAATTCCACAAGATATACTGGATCTATACATGCAAATGGCAAGGTGATTTTTCTTTTTCATTTCCATAAGGTGCCATATTAATAGCTGTGGTTTATTCTACAGCCTTGAAGAAGTTCATAGCCTTTTACGGAAAGAAGGCTTCACAAAAGTAGAATCTATCTCAGATTTTGATGGCTATGCGTATTGCCTGGATAAGCACTGTGAAGATGTACTCATTTTCCCGTCTTTTCTTAAAGAAAAGCTCCTTACTTTGGACCTCTTTACTAATTACAAGCTCCTACTGCAAGTAAGTGAATAGAAGTTTGCAGAACTATGAGTATTTTCCTTCTTAGTCTTTCAGTAGTGAATATTTTTTAAAATTTCCAGTGAGGCAAACAAGCCAAGAATAATAATATAATTGCACTGGATAGTACAACTGTACTATATTTCAGAGTAGTCTTCTGTTAATCGTAAAGTTGGAAGGGAGCTTAGTTTTCTTGGTCTTCTAGTCCAGCCTCCTTCCCAATACTGAAATCTTCAGACCATTCCAGACAAATGAGTGTCCAACCTTTGCTTGAGAACCTCCAGTGATGGAGCCCCTGTGACTCCAGAAGGCAGGCTGTTCCGCTGTTCAACAGCAGTGGTGGTGCTCTCTCACAAGTGATCTGGAACATTTGAAACAAATAATTAGGTTTGTTGTGCCTTACCCAGATGCAAAATCAAATTAGATCAGAATAAATAAAACGAACAATGGGTGTGTCCTTTGGTTCTGGCATTGAATTGAATAAATTCTTCTGTGATTTCAAGAACCATTTGAGAGGGGAAGAATGTCTCTTAGAAGCATGATGTGTTAAAAAATATGCACTGCTTGACTCTTGTTCAGCAAGTAAGTTCAGGTAGCACTGTTAGAATGCTACGATTTCTTCATTTTCTTTCCAGTATCTGAGAAAGTTTTTTTTTTTTAAATGTTCCTGTGTTACGAATTATGTTCCTCAGGAATTTGATTTGACTGACATGCTCTAAAGCTTGACAGAGAAATTCTACTTTTTAAAAACCTCCCAATTCTCATTCTGTTTGAAGATGGAGAATGGGATGTAAAAATTCCTTCAAAGAAAAGGAATTCCTCCAGAGAAATTCTCATGGGCAGGAAGGGGGTAGTGATGGTGGTGGCATTTTTACACTTATAAAGGCCAAGGTGTGTGTGTGTTGTGTGTGTGTGTGTGTGTGTGTGTGTGAGAGAGAGAGAGAGAGAGAACTGTCTTTTATTGTATGATTTTTCTCTCTAGTGGCTGAAGCTCCCTGATTTCTGACACTTCTATTAAATCCCAACGGGGAAACATTAAAATACAGTGGAACCTCGGTTTACGAACTTAATTCATTCCGTGACTCTGGTCACACCCCGAATTGGTCGCAACCCGAAGGAAATTTCCCCAGAAGGTTCAATGTAATTACCGTTAATCTGTTCTGGTGTGGAGGACAGGGAGGCGGCTATTGCTTGGAGGGAGAGTCCCCCTCTCTATGACCACGTGTCAGGGGCGGAAAATGGCCGCGGACCACGTGTCAGGGGTGGAAAAATGGCCGCAGACCCTGTGTCAGGGGCGGAAAA